TTTATTTTTTATATTATATAACATTTACTTTGTATTCAAAGTTAGTAAAACTCATTCAAGCTTGTAGTATTACAAAACAAATTATTAGGTTGATGAAAAACAAATTGTCACTTCGACTGGTGCACTTTCACTAGAAAAAGTACCAGAAAAAATGGTTGTTATTGGTGGTGGTATTATTGGTCTTGAATTAGGCTCTGTATGGAGTCGTTTAGGTTCTGACGTGACAGTTGTAGAATATCTTGATTCCATAGGTGCTGGAATGGATGGCGAGTGCGCGTATGTAACACTGTCTCAAAATACCGATTATTATTCAAGTAGAAACTTATAGTTACTTTATTTTATTATATGTAAATTACAGCAAGTCTTTCTCAAAAATGCTTCAAAAGCAGGGCATTAAATTTAAAATGGGTACAAAAGTTATTGATGCTTCTAAAAAGGATGGTAAGGTGTTCGTGAATGTTGAACCTGCGAAGGGAGGTTCCAAGGAAACCGTATGTATTACTAAAAAATTTGATTAAGATATCTCTACGAACATTGCCTTTATTTATCTTTTTTTATGTCCCGAAATATCAAGTTGGAAGCAAATGTAGTTCTAGTTTCAATTGGGCGACGTCCTTATACAGAAAATCTTGGTTTAGAAAATGTGGGCATTGAACTTGATGAAAAAGGTAGAATCAAAATTGACTCTCAGTTCCGTACAGCAAAATCCAATATTTTTTGCATTGGCGATGTTACATATGGAGCGATGCTAGCTCATAAGGCTGAGGAAGAAGGTTTGCAACATTAATATCACTATATTGGTAGTTTTAATTTCAACATGTTAATCGTTAATCATCTTTAAGGAATTGCTGCTGCTGAATATATTGCTGGAGGTCATGGCCATGTTAATTATGATGTGATACCATCTGTAATTTATACACACCCTGAAGTAGCATGGTGTGGTAAAACCGAAGAAGAAGTAAAAGCAACGAATAAACCATATCGTGTTGGTAATTTCCCTTTCGCTGCGAATTCTCGTGCTCGTACCAATCTTGATACACAGGGTTTTGTTAAGATAATCTCTGATGCTGAAACGGACACTATTTTGGGAGTACATGTTATTGGTCCTAATGCTGGAGAAATGATTGGTGAAGCTGTGTTGGCTATGGAATATGGAGCAAGTAGTGAAGATATTGCACGAACATGTCACGCTCATCCGGTAAGTTGTTTTTAATTTTATCACAAAAGCCATTGTAATCTGTCTTAACCCTGTGCACTTTATTTCAGACTCTGTCAGAAGCTCTCAAAGAAGCTGGTTAGTATATTTCTATATTTATGAACCTTCTTTATGATTTATTATTTAATAACAAGTATTAATTTTTTTTTTTTTTTTTAGCCATGTCTACATATGATAAACCAATCCATTTTTAAAATGATAGAAACTTTCTTATACAATAATCGTTAAAATTACTTTAAAAATTTCATTTATGCAAAGAATTTGTTTTTGTAATACTACAAGCTTGAATGAGTTTTACTAACTTTGAATACAAAGTAAATGTTATATAATATAAAAAATAAA